CCGAGCCCGATAAACAGCTACATGAACGGTTACGGTGGTTACGGGAGCACCACCGTGCCGGGTGGATCGCCCTCACCTTATCATCAAGCCCAGCCGGGATCTCAAATGTCGAGCCACAGTCCGAGCGGTAGTAGCATAAAATCGGAGCCGACGAGTCCCGCGAGCGGTGGGATTCACACACCGACGCCAACGGGCGCGTCGTCGACGGCCGCTGCCGGTGGCCAAATAGTTAAACGGGAATACATGGGGCAACAACAGACCCAACAAACTCAGGGTGATCTCAGGCAAATGATCTCCATGTATTTGCCTCAAGGAGTGGAACAGGGAGTCGTCCAACATGGCGCCGGTGTCTACTCGCCTGGACCATCTCCCGATCCCTTGGCGCAGCATCATACGGCGATTCCACCTCTAACGCACATGTAAGCCCAATTTCTTTTTTTTTTTTTTTACTTTATTCACCCTGCCCTCCCCCTAATATCTGTTACATTCTGCCTACTCGCGGGTGTACGAGTATCGGCGTCTCGCCGGGCGAAAGAGAAGGATTAAAATTCTCTCCGTTCGTCCGGGAAGGCTTCGAACTCCCTTTCTACCTTCGAGGGACGGGATAAACCTTCGATCGAGTTCGAGCTTCCAACTTCTAACCACGGTATATCCGTCCTCGATTTCCGCGCGATTTTGCTTTTCTTTTCGTGGTTAGTTTAGTCGCGCTAGTAGTTTAGTTTTATCGCGAATTAGCGAACCGGTTTATCCCTCTCTCTTGGTAGATCGATAAGCTTGATCGAGCTACGTTCGAGTTTTGATTCGTCGAACGTATTCGCGGGAAAAAATTTGCTCTTACGCTTTTCTTACGCTCGACGTTTAAAACTCGAACGTTGCCACGATTATATGTCGCACAAACAACACCCTCGATAAAGCAATTCACCACGCTTTCTATACGCAATTCTTGCGCCTTTGCATTTGCATACTAACATTATCGCCACGACATTTCCACTTCTGGACCCTAATGATCAATCCTGAGTACATACGTAACAATTAGCACCGACGTGAGAAAAAGAAAAAAAAAAGAAAAAGAAACTCTACCTCCACGCTCCGTGGTTCGAGCGAGCCTAACAGCGACCAGATTTTTACGTAACGAGATAACGAGCCATCCTCGATCCAACGCTCGATCGAGCGAAACGCATGATTTATTCAGTAGCTGTGATTATCATTATCATCGTTCCTTTTCATTTTTATCCAATCTATTTCACGTAAAAAGAGAAATATCTTAGATCTATTAAGCAATTAATCGTTCCTCTTCTATCATCCCTTCTTTCTCTCCAAACGAAGGATTTCGTTCGAACGTGAATTATCGTTATCGTGATAAATTAGAAAAGGAATTTCCCGTTCTTCTTCTTCTTCTTCTTCTTCTTCTTCTTCTACTACTTTTACGCGTGTTTCGAATCGGTTGGAAGAACTATCGTCTTTTCAATGATTTAAGGTGATCGCCGGTTTTAGATGGAACGCGTAGAAATATTAGGACGCGTTTACCCGATCAACCAGACGATCGACGAGATTAATTCGTCGTAGCTCTAGGCGCGATACGGTCGTCGCGCGCGAGATTAACGGTATTTGGGAAGATTTACGAGGAAAGTTTTCGACGACGACGGTCGACCGACGTGATTGGTAAACAGAGAAACTCGTTCGATGTGGCAACCAGCACGATGCAAAGAGACTCTGTAACACCTTTGTTTTCCTCTTCGTGGTCGAGGAAACCCTTTTTCTTTTGTGTACATTTATACCTTCCTTATCTTCTGTTCCAAGATTCCAAGTGTTTCGATCGATCGAAACTGTTCGATTCGTTTTCTTTCGATTACGTTATTTCTCTTTCCTTTTTTCTTTCTTTCTTTCTTTCTTTCTTTCTTTCTTTCATTTTCTTTTTCTTTTTCTTTTTCCGTTTCTTTCTTCTATTATTTTCTCGTTTCGATCCGAATTTCGTGCGTAGGGTCCAGAACGTAGGGAATTTCGAGCGGTTTATACTCAAGATTTATTTCTCGTGAGCCTCAGCCTATCAAGAGATAAATGTTGAGTTTAAACGTGTCGGGTTTCGCGGGTTGAGTCAAGAGAACCTCGTAGGCCGTTCTCCTCTCCCTCCCACCCCCTCTCCGCCCTTCCCTCCTCCTTCCTCCCCCTCGACGTTCACTTCGATCATCGGCATCGATCGTCGTTGTATCGCTCTTCGATTCTCCTCCTCCACCTCGCGCGTTTTCTTTCGATTCGATTAAGATTTCGTCGTGGAAATGAACGAAATGGTCGATCGAGGATAAATAAATACAAGATCTTCGCTCGAGTTTTCAACTCACTCTTCCGATCGCATCGAAGAGACGAAGAGAGAACGTGCGGCCACCACGAGACTTTCTTCTGACTCATCCCACGTCCCGATTGAAAATAAATATCCAAAAACTGCAATTAGCAACCTTGCAATTACCTAACATGAAACCAATAACCCCGTAGGATAGCTTAGATTGAGAAGAGAGGACAACGTGCGTAGCGTGGGACAACTTTGAAAATATGAAGATGATATTCTAACGAGAGAACAAGTAAAAAAAGAAAAAAGAAAAAATAACGAAAGAAAGAAAGAAAGAAGAAGAAGAAAAAAAATACCGCGAAAATAAGATATTATATTGGAATTAATATCGTTATAATTAAATACGCTGAGAATTCGGAGACCGTGGGGGCTGAGACGAGATCGTCGAAGATTTCTCGCAATCTTTGGAGAAATGACAAAGGACGGAAAGAAAAGAAGATAACGAAAAAGAAAGAAAGAAAAAAAAAAATAACCAAGAGAAATGAAATTAATCGAAAAAAAAAAAAAAAAGAAATTCTTTCTTCTCACGATTCACGCGCGATCCCAAGAATTCAATCATCGAGGATTCGAGGAACTCGTGTACTATCTAACGAATTAGATACACGAAAAAAAAAAAGAGGAGAAAAGGAAGGAACGAATAATCGCGTTCTTGAGCGATCGATATATGATTCACGGAAGAAATTATTATCGTTGGAATCGCGCGCGTCCTCGATCGTACGCCCGAGGACTTCCGGTCGTTTTCTTCCCAAGCTTGCGACGAATCTGCGCTCCTGCGGCCCCCACGCTCTTCTCCGCGCCTCGTCTCGTTTGTAGAGAGCGTTTCTCTATCTTTTTTTTTTTTTTTTTTTCTTCTATCGATGCGATGTCACAGAGGAGGCACAGATGAGTCGTTCGTTGAATCGGACACGAAGACGCGATTTTGACGAGGGAAGAGAGAGGGACAAGAAGAAGAGGGGTCCTCGCGGAAATTCGAAGAAAAAGAATGGAGATGTATCGATGATTCGTCGATGAGCGTTACATCATACACGAGCGAAGAGTAGAACGAGAATAAAAGAGAATGAACGAGAGAGAGAGAGAGAGAGAGAGAGAGAGAGTTAGAGAGAAAGGGAAGCGAGAAGGAACGCGAACTGATTAAACTTCTTACTGTGATAAAGCATGAAAAAAAAGTTGAATGCTGCACAATTTAGCTCGCGTGTAAGAAATAGCAGGGTATAGTCGCCGTGAGGGATTCGATAGAAAGGGGATGATGATGTGAAAAGTAGAGGAAGAGAGTATATCGCGGAAAAAAAGAACATCGAAGCAGGATGAGATAACAATAAGCGTAACCGTGTTTGTATATAAATATATATATATATATATATTTATATATATATACATATTTATATACGTATATGTATATATATATATATATAAAATGTTATATATACATATATATATATTAATAGAATATATAGAACTAGAATAAGAGATATGTATCATATTTTCTACCAGCAATATTCTCCTCTTTTCTCTTCTGGCCGTTCGGCGACGTCTCGTTCGACGTCCATCGTCGTGTACTCGTTTTTTTTCCTACCATTTCTAATCCTATCATTAAAATGAACGACGAATATATGTACGAAATATCGTATACTGTGGGCAGAGAGAGAGAGAGAGAGAGAGAGAATGAATGAGAATGAATGAGAATGAATGAGAATGAACGAGAGAGAAAAAGTGCGCGTACACGATCGCTAGAGATGGTGTTGATTTAGAAGAATCGAAATCCCAATTGCGTATCGATTAAAAAAAGGACGAGAAAGAGAGGAAAGAAAAAGAAAAGAAAAAAAAGCGAAAGAAGAAGAAGAAGAAGAAGGAAAAGAAAAAATGGAACGGGAGGAGAAGAAACAAGAACAGTATTTATCGCGCATATCTTGCATCCCTCCCCCCACAGTCGATCCTGCGAACGTAGTTCACATAGACGAAAGAATCCCTTTCGGTGTACCGAGAAGAGTTTTGTGTGTTCGTATGCGAGAGTGGGAAATTATTGTGGAAGTAGATTGGTCGTTGATTGTTAACCCCGGATCCTTCTCTTTCTTTTATGGTATTATAAAAACCTTGTGCCTTCTTTGTCACGCGAGAAAAAGAGGAAAGGAGAGAACTTCAAGGGTACTCATTACAATAAAGTACGTTTTATCAGCATATTATTTCGTTTACTTTATTACTGTGACGTCGTTATTAATGTTATTACCATTATCGTCGATGATTTTTTTTCCCTTCG